CTGGCGGCCACGCGCGGGGGGTCCGCCATCGCGCGGGCACCGGCAGGAGGGGGAGCGGGCAGGACACACTGCTGACAGGACGGGGGGGCAGTGGAGATGAGCATGCTGCACGTTGGCATCGTGACGACATGTCGTGTGCGGGATGTGCATACCCAAATGGGCGGATGGGGCGGTAAGCGATGCCTGTCTTTGGGGCCGTGGGCGGAATCCCCTGCGAGGCGATGCGAGTGAGGGGTGTGCCAAATGGCGGGGGGGAAGCTGTGCACACCTGTCTCGGGGGCCGCAGGTGGAATTCCCTGTGGGGCACGATCCACTTGATGGGGAGTGCCAGAACATGCGAGGGCAGGAAGGGGGGAGGGAGGGGGCAGGGAAAAGGGGGGGCGGGGAAGACGGACGTGGGAGGGGGGGGCAGGAGGGAAGGGGGAAGGGGGAACGGGGGAGGGAGGGGGAAGGGGGGAGGGAGGGGGGAGGGGGGAAGAGGAGAAGGAGAGGGGAGAGAGAGGGGAGGGAAAGGGGGAGGAGGGCGGGGAGGACAGGACGCGAGGCGCTGCGGGGGAGCTCGAAGGCCCAACACAGGACGCATGAGGCGAGATGAACCTGTGGGCAAACCTTCGTTCGCCAGTGGCGTTTCCATAGAGACGCAGCCATGCTGTAGCACTTACGCGAACGCTCTCTCACACTTGAAACACCAGTCCAAGTACACACGGACATGCTTATACAGGACCTACACACATGTGTGTGTGTGTCGAATGCGCGTGCCGATGGGTAGGTACAAAATGATCTGCACGTATGCTTCCCAACATGCGCCCAAAAAATTAACTTATCGCAAGGTAGATGCGTAAACTATGAAGTGTGACCACAAATGGGTGGTGGCAGCGCGCGAGGCGGCAACGAGGAGGAACTGAGCGGCAACGCGGCGACCCCTCTACAGGTCCACACATCGCAGGTAGCGGCAACGAGGCGGCAACGAAGCGGCAAGGCGGCGAATCCTCGACAGGCGTACCCACACAGCGCACGAGGAGTCAATGGGGCGGCAACGAGGCAACAAGGAGGCGGCAACGGCTGGCAACACGGCGAACCCCCAGCATACTCACACAGCGCACGAGGCAACAACAAGGTGGGAACGAGCGGCAACGGGCGGCAACGAGGCGGCAACGAGAAGGGCAACGGACGGCAACGGGCGGCAACGCAGCGAATCGTCGACCTACTTACACAGCGCGAGAAGGGGCAACCAGGCGGCAACGAGGCAGCAACGTGGCGAATCCTGGACGTATCCACGCAGCGCACGAGGCGGTAACGAGGCGGCAGAAAGCCGCCACGGGCGGAACGACGAATCCTCTCACGAGGCGGCAACGAAGCGGCAACGAGGCGGCAGTGGACGGCGTCGTGGCGAATCCTCGGCAGACCCACAGAATCTACGAGGCGGAAGCGAACGGGGGCGGCAGCGCGGCGAATCCTCGATAAACCCACGCATCGCACGAGCCGCCAACGAGGCGGCAACGCGGTGACTCCTCAGCTCAGCAGATCCACGCAGCGAGCGATGCGGCAACGAGGTGGCATCGAAGGGAAACGAGCGGCAACGGACGGCAATGTGACGAATCCTCGACATACCCACACGGCGCACGAGGCGGAAGTCGGCGGCAACGTCGCGAATCCTCAACATACCAATCCAGTTCCTTGTGGCAAGAGTATGATCCCCCTAAGTGCAAGCATTGCCCGGGGAATCATACCAGCCATCTGTGCGCGACTGGCGAAGGGCTGCTCATTGTTCCCTGATAATAAACACCCCTTCGCCCAGGCGACCGGCAACCAACCAGGGCGAATGCCGCAACCACTCCCTCCATCCCTGCCCCCCAAGAAACGAAGCACAGATTGGGGCAAAATCTTGGGTCATGTTCGTGGGCCCCGCGAGCACGATGTTTTGATTTGGGGGGGCCAGGACAGCGGAGGTGCACTCATATAGCTGCTTTGCGCAGAAAAAACCCTCAAGAAGCAATGCAGCATGCACTTCGCGGCTAAATCTGGGTCATGCGCGACCACCCCGCGATCTCTGTCCATTGTCGTTTGACAAGAACCGGGGGGGGCTGACATATTGCCCGTTGTGCAGGCCCACCAGACACCATGATACTTCCCCGCCGCGATTGCGCGCTGGTTTTCGACATGGATGGTGGGGGCCGACATGCTTCCCGTGTGTGCTGTCACGTGCTCGGGCGCACCTGGCACACTCTGCACGTGCCCCAAATGTGGCGCACCTGGCGCGACTGGACCATGCGGCACACATGGCACCTGGGGCACGTGGCGCGTCTGGCGCGCGAGGCGTGCTTGGCACGCTTGGGCCACAGGGGTGCCTGCCGCACCAGGAGCGCATGGTACGCGTGGCGCACCTCGCCTCATCGCGCCTGGGATCTGTATTGATTCCCACTGGCTGCCCGTCCATAGACGTCCGCTCAAAATGCTGAGGCCCCGGTGCTAATGTGATGGGAGGGCGGGTGGGGGTGAGCGAAACAGCTCGCGGGCGGGGAAGGTGTCTTGACCCCTCCCCGTGCCCCCTCCCCATGGGTCTGGAAGGTGGGGGCGCGAGCAGCTACAGCATCCGAGATGGCCTCGGCGACGAAACCAACATCAATGGTGTTGCCTCGATGCTCGCTACATGTTGGCTTCGTGGGGGCTTCTTTGACCGATCTCCTCCAAAATGGCCTATGAAGCTCCCAAGGGTGCTCCAAGACGGCCCCAGAGGTGCTAAGGATGCCCCAAGAGGCCCCCAGGATGCTCCAAAGAGGCTCCCCAATGACTCCCAAGAGGTCCCAAGATGACCCCTGGTGGCACCCAAGACGCCCCAGGAAACCTCCGGAATTGCCAAGAGACCCTCAAAACGCTCCAGGAGGCCCCGAAGCGAAGGGGAGAAATCCGAAGAGACCCCGAGAAACATCAATGAGGCCTTTGGCCTTTCTGCTACCTCTTTCCCTCCTCCTCTTCCTCCTCCTCCTCCTCCTCTTCCTCCTCCTCCTCCTCCTCCTCCTCCTCCTCCTCCTCCTCCTCCTCCTCCTCCTCCTCCTCATCCACCGATTCCTCATCCTTCCTCCTCCCATCTCCCCCTCCCCCTTTCCACACTCCTCCTTGTCCTCTTCCATTCGACCCCTCTTGGGCTACGACGTCCTTCCCAGCCCTTTATTACACTGCGTGCTCCGCCAAATCCCTGATCAGAGCAGCTCGTCTGGGCATCATTTCTGGATCGGCTGGTGGGGCTACGCGAAACGTCTAGAATATGCTTACTCCCAAAACAATGTTTGCACTGAGGGTTTGTTAATTGCTTGTCGCAAAGACCTGTGCTTGCTTGGCCGTCGTACGGCTCCGTGGTCGCCATCGCCGCCCCGTCGCCGCGTCGCCGCCTCTCGTCCGGGCTTGGGTGCCGGTCAGGCGGCTCCGTGGTCGCCGTCGCCGCCGCGTCGCCGCTTCGTCGGTGCCCATTGTCTGGGCTTGGGTGCAAGTCTTGCGATTCCGTGGTCGCCGTCGCAGAACCCGTCGCCGCCTCTTCGCCGCCGCCGTGGGCCTGGGTGCCAGTTTGACGGTTCCGCGGTCGCCGTCGCCGCTTTGTCACCGCCCTGTCGCTGCCCCAGAATTCAAACAGCTACTCCCGTTTCAAATCGCCATATAGCCTTTAAGCCCCGGGTTTTCTCGCGGCTTTTCCGGTTATCCCCAGGACCCAATATATTACATGCGATTATGCCCGTTCGTCCTTTCTGAAAGGAATTATCTCATCCGAGGACACCCCATATCGCCCCCGACCTCTGTCAAATAATACTACGCGCGCACCCGTTACAATACTCCCATGCAAACAATTCCGCACGCGCGCTATGGCGCGCCCACATGTCCCACAGCCTCTGGCAACTTTCTAGTTTGTCGCACACAATCCAAAATCGAGGATCACATCTTTCTTTCAAAGAACGCTGCGTGCATGCAGATTTCTAAGCAAGCAATAAATGCGCGCGCGCCCTTGCGAGTTTTCAGGGGGCCGTAAGCTTCCAACACTTCCATCACTTGCGGCCGAGCGGGCCTGTCGCGCGCGCGCAACGAGATCATTCGAACGCACTTGCGCGCATGCATGGGACGCACGGTCAAATAATACCACGCGGCCCACCCGCGCGCGCGCGCCGGGCGCACGGGCCGAAATCGGCCCAAAAATCTTCATTGGCGACGCATGTGCAACATCATCTTCATCTGCGTGGCCAGTATCGGCGCCGTCATTGCCATTGCCGTCGTCGTAGGTATCATCTCGACCATCACCGCTATCATCACCATCTTTTCCGCATTTGTCGACGTCGCCATGATGTCGCGCCCGCCCGAATCACTGGCCCGCACTGAAGCGCCCGCGCGCCAGTGCCGCCTGCGAGACGCGCAGAGAAGCTCTCATCGGCCAGCGCAACCGCGGCCGCGTTGGTTGCGCAAAACTAGCCGACCGCTCTACGCTCGAGCTCTCGCGCGCTACGGCGGCCGCAGACACGCGCCAGCCAATGCCAAGCAGCCATCGCAACTGCCGCCGCATAGGCTTTGCAAACCAAGCGGCGGGAGGGAACGTGGGGCGAGCGCGCGGGCAATAGAGTCTGCGAGTTCAAGATTTGCGCGGTGAATTACACCACGTGGTTTCTCCGGTAGAAAATCGTAGATCGCGCCCTGCCCTGGAGCACTGCCATTCACATGCGATCCTGGCCCATCGCTCATGTGCATTCTACCACGCATCATCTTCGGATGGCGGCATCGCCCCACCCCCGCCACCCCTGTCAAATAGAAGACGCACGCGCGCAAGTGCATTAAACATCAGCAGTTTGCAGACGTCCCTTCAAATAGATAAGAGATAAGACAGTGTCAAAGCGCGCGAGTCGTCGCGCGCGCATGCTGGAATGATTGAAACAAGCTTTGGGCTTGGTGCCGATTTCAAAGCCAAGGCTTCCGACTACAAAACAATAGCTTGCAAAGTGTTGGTGCAACATGAAAACGCGCGC